TACGGAATCATTGAAAATGTTGCAGAAGTGTTTTGGGGAGTCTACTCTATCGAGAACGCAAGTATTTGAGTGGCATAAAGCATTCAGTGAGGGTCGTGAGGTCGTAGAAAACTTGTCTCATGCGAGTCGTCCATCCACCTTTGTTAACGACGATAACATGGAAAAAGTGAAGGAAATTGTGTTTGAAAATTGTCGTGTTGGCATTAGATAGCAGAAGCATTCAACATCTCTTATGGATCGACTCAACACATTTTGGTTAATGTTTTGGGTATGAAGCGCATCGCCGCCAGACTCGCCACACATTCCAGCCTGATTGTGACTGAATTTTTGGCCAAACACGAAATAAAAGTCATCGCTCAGCCACCGTATTCGCCAGATTTGGCTCCCTGTGACTTTTTTCTGTTTCCGAAACTCAAATATCCGCTCCGGGGAACGCGCCATGAATCGATTGAGGCCATAAAAAGAAATTCGCTGAAGGAACTAAAGGCCATCCCGGCCGAGGCCTATAAGAAGTGTATGGAAAATTGGATTAATCGTTGGCATGCTTGTATTGGCTCAGAAGGAGGCTATTTTGAAGGCGATCATAAAGATTTGTATTAAAATACATAAAATTGTTGTTTTTTTTAACCAGTCCGGGTCAAATTTGATCAGATGATAGGCAGGAAATACGCATTGACACTTACGGGATACAAATTTCTAGATATTAATATCAACATTGGCCCACCGAGCTACATGGAGATAGGAAATAATCGTGGAAACAAATTAATATTATCTATCGAAAGGACTCTATAAACAACGTTGAAACATTCAAAACTGTCTTCGGAATCATCACAAGAGTAATTCTATTTGGACCGCTGACTGCGATTTAGTACGATTTAAAATGCTAAAATTGCATGGAATCATCCGACGTACGTTTAATGATGACTGAATCAACTATATTTTATTCAACTTAGATCAATGCATTAAATTAGCATTCGGTCAATTGGTTGGTATCATCGAGAAAGTCGATACAAAGTTTACACGATTCTCGAATATCGCATCCACTGCAACGGATGCTAAAGATGTAATATGCGCTAGTGATTATTTTGATAAAAATCAGTTCCTCGACTGCGAACTTTTAGCTGTAATTTTTTGTGCGTAAGTAAAAAATTATGTAAAATTATATAAAATATAAATAAAAAA